CAAAGAAAGGCTTCAAACCTTGAATGAAACCAAACGCGATTCCAGGAACTGCGTAGATAAAGGAGAAAAAGTTGAAAAAATTAACACAGTTTGTAAAAATCGCAAATAGAAACAACATGATATTCTGGCGTCTATTTTCACCCGTTAATCTCGGCCGACAGATTGCTAAGATAGGAATAAGTGTGAGAAGCTCAATCGCTCGCCGTAAGAAAAGCGTTTGGAAATTCGGAAGGCCTTCCTTGTCTATTAATGCTGTGAACTCCCCACCAAAAGAAGAAGCGATGGCTGACATGACGGTTAGCAAAATGCCTTTTGCTGCTTGGAACGAAGGCGACACCTCTTTATTTGCCTTTTTAACGTGTTCGCCTTCGTCAGTGTTAGCAGCAGATGACATTTCTCTTGCATTTGTGCTTGTATTTTCTTCTGATCCTCGCTGTGTTGCCAGATAGCGCGCTATTTATAAAGATTGGCGTCACACGTATTGCCAGTGTTACTAAATAATACCGTTTAGGAAGCAACAAGTTCGCCACGATATCTGCAACCTCTATATGATTCACTAGAGCTCCCTCACGAAGCTGCAATCGCTGGTGTCCTCTCTCAGGAAGCTGCAACCTCGCTGGTGTCCTCTCTCAGGAAGCTGCAACCTTGCTGGTGTCCTCTCTCAGGAAGCTGACACTTTGCTGGTGTCCTCTCTCAGGAAGCTGACACTTCGCTGGTGTCTTCTTTCAGGAAGCTGCAACCTCGCTCTTCACGGTCCTCTCTCAGGAAACTGCAACCTAGCTTATGTCTTCTCTCTGGAAGCTGTTACCTCGCTAAAGCCCTCTCACGGTAAACGGCAATATGACTTCGCTGATAATCTCAGAAAGTCTCAACCTCTCTTGAACAGTTGCATTCCATTAATGTACACTGCTATGCAAAATGTTGTCTCCTGTTCTGAAAAAAAAAGAAAAATGATCATATCTGTGTATATCTCGAATTTTAATGATGTCACACTGTACAGGCCAGTAAGTAAGTGTAGTAAGTGCGGATTACTAAAAAATCCCAGCCAACCATCCCAGCATATCATACTAGTAACTTGTCGCCGATCACGACCACATTTTGTGCGGAAGAAAGCCACTAAAATCAGAAGATAATGCTTCTGTACCGAGCAGATAGAGCTCCGGTTATTTTCTAGGACATGATACCCTGGACTTTGTCGTAAAACTGAGCCAAAACTGTGGCAGACGAAAAGCCGGAGACATTTCCAACCGATGGCGCGTTGCAGGCGGAGGTCATTCGGGGTAAACGGAAGATCTCGTTTTTTTACGGGGAAAAGTTTGTCGACATGTCATATTTTACCTGATTCCTTGCTTTCATTACGGTAAATCGGCGACAACATATATTAGCAAAATAGTCATAGATATTAAATGAATTGCTTACTTTGGTAGATTTTGCTTTGCTTCAGAGCTTTGAGGAGTTTGACAAGTACATGTACCACCCAATGACAATGGACATGCAGACAAATTTCTGCACGCTGCTAGCTACCGCGTAAATACGAAGCCTTTGCCTCGGTTTACATTAAAAAATAACTTTGAACAGACAATAAATGATATCCGAACGCCAATTTTTGCCGACAACATTTGTGGCGTTTACAAGTTCCGTTTTGTGGGATTAAGATTAAAGATTGTCGTCGGTAACCGAATGTATGTACGTAAACAAGGACTGACTCGGAAGTTGGAGCAGAGAAAAATGGCGAGGCGGGCTGTTCTGCAGACAAGGACTTCGGCGTAGGAAAAACCCAAACCTACCCCAGCGGAAAACTGAACATAATGATATAGAGGACTTCAAAAATCATGTTCTGCCTACGAAGAAGAGATACGTCCGACACACTGGCGACGAAGAGATAAACATTTGCTGAGTTTAGGTAGACTATTTTAAATACTGCTATGGGTAACGATTGGGTAACATAACATAATTGATCCAACTCCTTGATTGATCCAAGCAAGGACATTGTACGATGATCCAAGGAGGCATAATGCAATGTAAGAAAACATTATTTATGTATCTTTTGGAAGAAGGACAATTTAGTACAGCAAGGATCATAGTTGTAGTTTAATGCCAACACTTCTGTTCAGACACTGCCCATACAATTTCAATTGGAAACAACAGGGCAATCTGCTTCTATATACACGAAAGCCCCCTCCCAAAATCCATACCTTGGATATACCTTGCATGTAGTCTTACAGGTTTTGAACAGCATCAGTAGAGGATTTTTTAACTCATGTCTCTTATTCTATCAAGTATATTTCAGTTATTTCCTAGCATCAATGTGGATCGACAACTTAAAAAAAAGTACTCATGGCAAAAGGGAACACAGTGTAAGGGTATGCAATGTCTGACAAATTCCTTTAGCACTGAGCAGTTACCTCACTGAAAAAAGATCTAAGAATACTGGTTGATAAGGATTTATATTTTAAGACCCATATTCATATGATAGCAAACAAAGCAAAGTGGTCGTCAGGACTATTGTACACAATGTTTTACTTCATCGACCTAGAAGTGTTCTTCTCGTTACTAGTATTAAGAGCCCTGGTTACTTAAAAAAAACACCACATGCAAGTATAACACACGTAATAGACAATTCAAACTCTACTATTGTATAGATACAATCGTTACGGCCACACTTTTACGGTGACATCCATAAGTCTAAATACATGTGTATATTTGAGCTACTTACCAACCAGAGGGTGATCAGCGAAAAGAGTGGGAAATGCTGTCGTCTTGAATAGACTAAAAAACCCCAGTTTACTTAATTATTCAGAATTTAACCCCAGTTAAACCAGTTATTCTACGTGTCTTTAGGTGTCTGCTTTCGCGTATGATTGGATGGTTTTCTTTCGTCATTGTGTTTTGTAATTATGTTATAAATCAAGTCTAACTGCTGATAAACAGCTTTAGAAATGAGATGTGATTTTATACGGTTCTCGTTTGATTTGAAGTCAATTTTTTTCTAACATCTGCCTTGTACATTTCCTAGACTTCCTAATGCTTGAGGCAGCAATTATGTCAACTAGCAATTAGAGATACTAGTAATCAGGAGATTAACAGTCGGGGATGTAGCCCGTCGGGGCTCCGGCCTGGCTCTGGGGTTTGCCGGGCACTGGCTGTCGTGGTCAGAATTAAAAATTGCCTTAACACTGCCCTGCAGGGGTCCTGGGGTCATTTCAGGGCAAGGGTCAACCACATGTCCATGCCTGCATGTTTCCTATGTTATTATCGGAATTATCTCAGAAAATACTCAAAGTCATATACCTGAGTTTTAGACTGAGTAAAATACACTGGTAGGGCATTCCATGTAGACCAAAATGAAAAATAAAAAAAATAGGCTATGCTGCGGAAGTATGTGTGAATTCTGCCTGAACATTGAGAAGTGACCCCTGACCTCTCTGGACTGCTGATGACCGCATATTAATCTATATCTGCTTTCGCGAATTAGATAACACAAACATGGCTGAAAGTTTAGATCTGTTTTTTCAACGAAATAAACATACTACAACCCTTACCTAAAACAAACAGCTCCAAAATATTAACATTTTTGCAATTTTAAACATTATAAGAGCATCTTGCTTTGTCGATAAACTTGGATACAGAATATCACAGAAATGAGTAAAAACACTAAAATACAAGAATTTAGTAGCAAATCTGAGTCAAGTGAGACTCTGTTGAACACGGTCCCCATCAAACACCACCCGGTTCCTTTTGAATCTAAGGTATGTATTTTCATGGAATGTGGAAGGATATCTCAAGGCTATGTCCTTGGTGCTGAAACGGGCGGTCCCTGGTCCATACGGTACATGTATATACATTATACGATCTGCTAGACACCCCGTGTGAGCTTGACACGGCGTCCGCTTGCCGCTCCAAGCCTTGGTACAGCCCTCAGACTCGGCCAGAATACAACAGTTTAGCGCCAACAGGCGATGTCCTTGGTGCTGAAATGGGCGGTCCCTAACATGTACTGTACATGTGTGGGTGATGAAATGTGCCATACTTGCCGCTTGCCACTCCGAGCCTCCAGAGTACGCTCAGACGTGGTCTGAGATTGAGTACAATGGATTTGAGTCCGGGGGCGATGTCCTTGGTGCTGAAATGGGTAGCCCCTAGCATGTACTGTACATGTAGTGCTATACTTGCCGCTCTGAACCTCCCAAGTACGCCCAGACGCGGTCTGAGTACTATGGATTTGAGTCCGGGGTGATGTTCTTGGTGCTGAAATGGGCGGCCCCTAACATGTACTGTACATGTAGTGCTATACTTGCCGCTTGCCGCTCTGAGCCTCCCAAGTACGCCCAGACGTGGTCTGAGTACTATGGATTTGCGTCCGGGGTGATGTCCTTGGTGCTGAAATGGGGGTCCCTACGATGTGTGGAGGGTATCACTGTGTGTGCATGTTCAGGTTGATTTTAATAGTCTGATAATCAGAGCAAGATGATTGACATATATTATAATTAGTCCAACAGTGGCCTGTGTTTGAGGCAGAACAGTCAAATGCAGGACAGAACGACTTAAACGCTCTCCCATACCCTATATAGTGAGGCTTACTAGTAGCCTTAGTAACAGCTGTCCCACCTTGATGATTTTATCTTCGCATACGTATAAGTTAATATTAACGACGTTAACATTATTGTGTTCTAGGTAAGGCGCTTTTCTCTCGGCCTCTTGAGTACCTTTCGGAGTTCTGGAGTTGGGTTGAGCTTCTTGTCATCGCAGTAGGCTTCTCAGCTCTTGGCGTCTACTTCCACACACAAAGCATCATCGACGACATCGCGATACAGCGAGCAGCCGGAAACGCAGGTTTTGACGGGTACAAGAGCGCAGTTGGCTGGTACCAGGTCAGTTTAGAAATACCCATCTGCAGTCTGCAGTTTGCAGAGAAATTTACAATGTTGCATAAGAAAAATTAAGCAACCTGCAATTTTGCATAGGGGTTCAATGGTGTCTGCATGATATTGTTTAGGAGCTTTTGTGCTTACTACTGACTTAATAATTAATATACTAGTTACTGTACATGTACACTGTACATGGGCCTTAGAGCAAAGCCCAGTAATAGGGCTTGCTATCTTACGTGGGGATTGTGACAGAAAAAAAAGGCACGAAAAGACACGTATGTAAAAATGCTAGGCTATGAAAAACGCATATTGATAGGAAAAACAAGGCATGTCGAGGTTCTATATTCAACAAGTGCGCAATCAACAGGTCCATTCTGTGACAAATAGTTCAACTGGAATACAACATTTCATCAATAATTACAATTCCACAATACAGATACTCAAGTGGTTATTATTATAATAATTTTCATTCATATTACCTATATTAACGATGAACTAAACTTTCACATATTATTTACAGGTCATAATCATCTTGTTTGCTATCATACTACTGTTTACGTGCTGGACAGAAAGATCTCATCTAAAATCTTTCTTTTGATTTGAACATCGAAACTGATTTTTAAAAACGTATTCCCGATGTACAACATCGAAGTAGTGGTTATGTAAATAATTGTCTCCGTTTAGTTGCTCCGTATTTCACAACTATCCTGCATCGCTAGTAAACGACAGAACGAAAAGTAACACAGTTGTCATCTGACCGGCACTTTGTACCCAAATATGTTGTAATCTCTCTCGTACTTTGACACCAGTTTCTGGAACAGGTCCGGTGAAATTTGAGACAAATAATGATTGACAGTTTCTTCAGACGATGTGTGCGAGTAGAACGACGAACGCGCGGGAAACGCCACTTTATCGTCTGCACCAACGGCAGACAAGATCGTCTTGGCGTCATCTTCCAGCGTGTCCAAGTGCCCGACGAAGTCGTAGTGTATTGCACAAGGCTGACAGACGTCTAGGTAAGGTCTCCAGTGTTGGTTCATGGAGCGGGGAGGCGTGTCCACCACGTATTGCACAAATTCCTGGAAGGTAATAATAATAAACACGCCGATGAAGGTTAGAGGTCCAGGAACAACATAACGTAAAACAAAATAAACTACAAAGGTATCACTTGCAAAGCAATTTCATTATGTTAACCTTCACATGGTCTAGCCTAAGAAACTACATTAACTTCTCTGTTTATTCTTACTCAGATATGGTGACCAGCCCCTCTAAATGGTAACCCAACACCACTGGGTAGGGTGTCTGCTACAACACCAGTTACCATGGAGACGACGTCTGGTAGACGTGGAGACGAAGAAGGAGAGGAAACAGAGAAAAAATAATGTTTGCCTTCTGCGAAGGTTAACATAATCAATCAAAAACAAATCTGACCGAGGAAAGATAGTGTAGAAGTTTCCGGAGTTATTATGTATTACCTGGAAGGTAATGTTAGGGTGAGACACATCGGGCAGGGAGAGGGGCCCCTGGCGGTACTTCTCTAAGATGTTCCAGGCTTCCTTCAGGCTGAAGGCCTCCATGCGCCGCTCGAACTTGTCCCTGAAGGCGGAGACCAGGCGGGCCAGCGGGTCCCGTACGAACATGAACTTGTAGTAGTGCTGTAACCTGAGGATGGGAAATATTGTCATAAATACAAGATGTGCATTTTTATTTTCTTTTAGAACGATGTAACTCTTTAAAAGGTATAGGAAGGGTAGTTCCGTAGCCATAGGGGAAGGAGGTTGTTAGTCTAATGTGTCTAGGGCACAGTAGAAGGTGGAACCCATCCCTCTCCTTCCACAGCCTTCTACCGCCCTAACCGAAGTCAGATACACAGTTGCACCTGGGTAGATTGAGGAAACTCGTGTAGAGTGTCTTTTCGAAGGACAGAATGTCTGGCCAGGAATGCAAGAAACCGCCGACTCCGTAAAATAACCACGTGCGCTAACGGACCTTGTCTAGTCTCCACCAGGCTCCTCTTGCTGGCTGAATAAATCGTAGTCGGCGGTAGCAAAGCTATTCAGCCTGCAAAAGGAGTCTGGTGGAGACTAGACCTCAAGTAGGGAACGGTATTCCTAGCACCGGAGAGTCTACGATGGTCTGGTTGCCAGGTTACTGACCTGTAGGCGACACTAGCGGCTGGGTAGTGACTGAGGTACGTCCAGTTCTGCATGTGGAACTTGTACATGTCCATAGGGATGTGCTCAGGGTTGGAGAAACGGCCCTCCAGTACACTGATGACTCGTTTCCAGGTTGTGCACGCCACCTGCATGGGGACGAGAGTGCAATGTAAATTGTAAAGTTTGCAAACTACAAAACAGAAAACGAAAAAAAAAGATTTCTTACTTGCGGAAAGTATACAATATTCGGCTTTCTGAATTTCCCTATGTCGACCTCTGACTCCCAGTCAGATTTGACCTCCAGATTTGATTCTGCCAGTCAATCTTCCACCCATGTGCTATAACCTACTTTATCTGGACAAATGGACACTCAAACCCAGATCGCAGCCACCAAAATCGATAGTTCTGAACCCAGAATTTTGAAACGGAAGTAATAAGTATCACTACAAGAAATCCAATATTTAAGCACAGTTTAAAGCATGCGTAAATGTTCACTAGAGTGAAGAAAATAAAGGTTTAGATATTCTTGCAGTGTACATTTCTCTAAATTCGGACACACCTTGGGTACGTAGCAGTAGAGGAACCTGTACTCGTCATTCACGATGATATGATGTAATGCCGACCACCGTTGCCTTGACGACAGGTCGGACACGTCCCGCGCGGCGTTGCCATCGCGACAGCCATGCTTCAAGGTCCGCAGTTGTGACGTCACCTGGGAAGCAAACGGCAGACGTTTAGCACAGAAGCCCAGGTAAGGCAACAGCCTCTTATCCATTAGCCTCTACCAGGCTTCGGTATTTGGCTGGAAAGCGTAGAAATTGACCAATTAGAGAGAGATAACATGCCGGGGGAGTTGGTCCGCTAGAGAGCACAGTTTACCGCACCTGGTCTCTGTAGCTGACCAACTACCCCGGCATGTTATCTCTCTCTGTTTGGCCAATTTCTACTCGTTCCAGCCGCCTACCAATGCCTGATAGAGGCCCGTTATATCAATCGCTGAAGTTCGCTATTATATTTAGCTACCAGGCCTCTTCTACTAATCAGACACGATGTTTAACAAACAAAAAGTGAAAAAAATAGCAATCTCTATCAAGTCATTATCTATGAAATACGTTAGGTGACCTGTTATAGGTTTGGTCCCTCGACGGTTGCTGCATGGCTTTAGTGTAAACTAACTAAAGGGGTTGTAAGATCACCGGCGGAAAATACATGTAATTCTACTAATTGGTCAGTCCTCCTGAAGAAGGCTGTATATGCGTGGACAGCGCTGGATCGAAGGGTAGACACCTTAACTTTACTTTGTATCTTATTGGTATTTTCAGGATTGACTATATACGAGTCTCAAGCGATTACACTTCGCAACATGAGACTTGTTATACTGGACTTCAGACAATATCCGCAAGAGGGCACGAATGCTCGGTATGTATCATATCGGTACACGACCAAGACGAATCTGAAAATGTTTTGATAGCATCTTGCTCATTCATATGTACTTTACAGTTCTTCAATTTTCTTTACAGTACGGTAAAGAATTAGGAATCTAAAAGAGAAAAGGTGACACCGCAAACACGATAATTACTTCACGGAGGATTGTGTCCTATGGACTCTTGTTGGATCCATTTTGGAATGATTACCTGGGAAATCATGAGGAAGGTTGGAGTGCACCATACAGGCAGCTCGGTGTTGGCCGGGACCTATGTCAGCTCAGGCCTGAAAACAGCTGTCCTTTATTACATGAAACTGTCGCGTGTTACACTTTTGAATTAAGTTTAGACGTCTCTTCCAACTTAAACTGATTAAGAAAACTGCGAGTTGCCAAAATGTTTGCCAAACCTACAGTATGTCTGGCCTTTCTACAGAATGACTCGCCGAATTATTATCTTTAACTTTAAGGTTACGTTTTCAACAGCGTCCGTGTGTGTGCATATCTGTGAGTCTGTTAAACAGGTGGTATCAGTGAATGCACCTACATTTTTATATAAACCTGGTACATGAACCAGCCCTGACGAGAAATTTGTTGGTGGAAAAATTCGCAGAATAGCAGAAATTCGCCAAATAGACTGAACATGTGCACTTATAGTATATATAGTATACGTGCAATTCAAGTTTGCAAATTGCAATATCTGACATAGATATCTAGTGTATCAGGAATATACACGAATGGTACTCATGATTATCTTTTAAACTTTTTGCGTTTTTTTTGTTGTCTTTTATATAGTACATTTCGTTCCCGACATTTGTTCGGCCGGCCCCGGTTTGGAAATGTGAACATTAGAAAGCATCGCCATCAACGAAGGAAGCAGATCATTTCCAACATTAACGCGTGCTATAGTTAAACGGTGATACAGCTGAAGAGGAAACATTGACATTGTTCTGACGTGGATTAGTCACCCCCAGTTTCAGTTCCCCTTTTAATTTGCGAATTCTGTTTTCAAGGTTATCTGTTTTACTTACTTCCGCTATCGTGGAAAAGTCGATCCGCATTTGGCGCAATAAAGGATTTGCATGCAGACATTCATTCATTATTAAGCTGTGGGATGTAGAGGCGTCCAGGCGTCTGCGGTACTAGCCTCGTCAGACAGACTTCTAGAGGGGCAGCGGGAAAACATTGATTTCTACGATCGTTTTCTTTTTGGGTGTACTTATTCTGGGGGAGGGAGAGAGACGATACAGCTCTTCCGTAAGAATACAACTCTCTTCCCTCTCTTCGCTCTAGCGGCCGCCTCTAGAAACAAATAATACCCAGCTAGAAGTCTGCGCAGGAGGCTATGTCGCACGATACGCCTGGCATGCTTCTCTGGCCTAGCCTGGTACTCAGCATGTAAAGGTAGCCCCCAACAGACTTTCCGACGGGGTTAAATACGAGCAGGACAGTAGAATTCCGAAAAAAGCACCATATGGTCAATTGAGCTGCGTATATATACTTGCTTTTACCAGGCATGCTGAAAGAGTAGAAATTAAAGGCTGATTAAATAGATATACACTCAGGTAACATGCCAGGTGAATAGTTAAAAATTATAATATGAGGAAGCTGTACTGTAAAATCATGCACATGCTTGGGGATTATTTTGTAGAGTAGAGTATATATTCAGGTAGGACCACTCCTTATCCGTCTCTTTATATATTATATAATGTACCAAGATGTGTTTCGTTTCGAAATTATCTTCCGACAGACTTTTTCCCGACCGAATTACCTGATCAAACGTTTTCCGAGAGATCAGTTCCACCGGCGTGATTGGAACTGACATAGGACCCACCTCAACTGTATCATGTCAACAGTACAAATGGCACATAAACGCGAAGAGACGGCGCGAACAGATGCGAATATTTAATGGATTCGTTCCGTTTTCCAGCAATCTGAAAACTGAGACCCCTTGGGGGGTTTTGGCTTCCCCCGAAACCGCGGTCTTTCCGGCAGAGGCTTTTTTGGGGGTTAACAATATCTCAAAGTCATAAATTCAGCACAGGGATATACCGCTGATGTGTATCTGTTAAACCTCTACCAGCCTCTACCAGGCTTCGGAAGCGGCTAGAAAGAGTAGAAAATGGCCAAATAGAGAGATAACATGCCAAGGGAGTTGATTTGCTACATTTTGCCGCACCCGGTCCATTTCTACTGTTTCTAGCCGCCTCCCGAAGCCTGGTAGAGGCTATCTGTTGGCATTTGTGACAAAGTGAAATATCATCCTATGTTTTACACTTTAGTCCTTTGTTTTGAGACAATTGGTGACGATGTCAGTATAATATAGAGATCAGCAGAACTGAGCAAAATCGTTCAGAAAAAATTCCGCAAAAGAGGATGATACGAAAGCGTTATGAATAAATAATGTTGGGAAGGGGATCTGCTTTCTCGCCCCTCAGCGTTGTGAGATCATGATTTTACAGCACGATTTTCAACAACGTGAAGTTTAAGCTTGAAGCTAAGAACAGGAACATAGCTAAACCCCTTTCCGAGCCCGACATTCACGTCAATACAAACCCAATTTGTGCCCTACTGCGCCGGGAATTGCACGCGGTGGCGGCGAGTCACGGACTTCAGAGAACCGGTAATCTGGGGCAGGAAAACTCAGCATCGGCTTCCCACAACAAATGTTGACCTAGATAAGCCACAACGTAAATATCTAA